TAAACGAAATCAAATCCTTTTATGTTTGAACAACAATTAAAATCTAATTTATACTTTGAGGTACAAGTACAAGAAATTAGAAGGCTAAGTATAATACAACAATCAAATTCCACAAACTAAACAAATTCAACGAAATATGAAGTAAAAAATCAACAGAACTTGAAATTTTTTCTTAGAAAAATATAAAAAAGATTTCATATATAATACACCAAAAAACCTAGAAAAAATCAAAACCCCCAACAAAATATAAACCCAAAAAAAAAAAGGAGAAATCCAAACTACCTGTAAATGTACAACCGAGCAAAGCCACTAAGAAGAACGAACCAAAAACGAAGAAAACAAACTCACGGTCTAGATGTAGGAAGCTCAAAATTGATGGTGCATTCTAAGAGAAAGATAAAAATTAAACAATAGGACCATTAATAAAAAAAACCTTGAAACGAAACATTCAATCGACCGAAGAAAGAAATGTACATATTCAAAACCCCACCGAAGATATTTTCTTCCTTCCATATTGAAGTAATAAATGAGATCCTAACGCAAGAACTTGCACTTCATATAGTTTTCAGAGAATCGTGAGAAGAAATATAGAAAAGAAAAAAAGGAGAAAGGAGAAATTTTGCAATGGTTTTGGGGAAGAAGTGGAGTAGGTGAAAATAGAATACATGGCAATGAAAATGACTAGAGGGAGAAAACATTTCCGTGAGAGAAGAGAAAGGAATGAGTTGATGGTTGCATGTAAAATCTAAAGTAGCAGTAAGGTGGCATTTTAGTGGTCCGAAATGGCGTCTTTTTAAGGTCTATTTTTTTTAAAATTGACGTCAGCATAGCATCATAATGATGCGTTATGAACAGTAATAAAGTTTGCTCTTCTATATATTGTAGTAAAGTAACTACTTATATAGGTGGATAGTACATGTAGATCTTTCAAAATGTGTAAATAAAAAGTGATTTGAGTATTTATAAACAAAATAACATTTGACTGACTTGTGCTATACATTTTAATTAGTACTATTATTAAGGTTTGGATTTGTCTTAGGGTCCATTTGATACGACTTTTGTTTTTTATAGGAGTGCTTCTTGAAAAAAAACTACATTAACTAGTGTTTAGAAGCTAATTTTTAAAAGAGCGTTTAGAGGAAGTCGAATTGAAAACTTTTATAAAATTAGTTAAACATGTCCAAAAATAGAAAACTTTTATCAAATTAATCAAGCGCGTGCAAAAGTAACTTTAGATCTCAAAATCTCCTTTTGGCTTCTCAAATACATGCCAAACGGGACTTTAAAAGTTCTTCTAACTAAAAGAAACATTACTTGTTGCTTAGTATGAACTCACAAATTGACATTTGAGAAATCTCTTAACAAGGTTAACATTTTAAGGCTCTGTATGACATGATTTTTGAGAAGTAAAAAAGAGTCTTTGAAACTTAAAAGCTACTTTTGGACACGTTTGACTGATTAGAAGACGGTGGGAAGAGCATATGAAATTAGTGAAATTTGAATTTTGAACAATAAACTTATGATAATAATATCTAAATTATAGGGATTCTTTGAAATGAAAAATCAAATGCTAAAAATATATTTAAATTACTTATTTATTTTTAATACATAATTGTGAATAAGAAAAGTTGTTACCTAATTTTTTATGAGGGAAATTTAAAAGCATGGTTTCCTCCAATTTCCTCTTTTGAAAATTAGGCCCTCTATCTACATTTTTTTTTCGAGTTATGAAGTAGCACTGGTATTTTTGTGCAACGGAAAATTGTTTACGAGGAGTGCAACCTTGATGCCCTCTAGAAAAACTATCCATTGCTTCTACTTTATGCGATGATGTAGTGTTTTATTGATGATACTATCCTTTTGTTATGTTGGTTTGTATTGTCGTTTTCTAGGGCGGATATTGGGGGTGGCAGCACGAGGCTGTAGTCCATGGCTGCCTAAGCCCATACCCAAAAATAATTGCCCAAAAAGAAAAATGAAAATTCGGCCCATCAGCCAGCAATGGCCCACCATCAGTCTAAGAACACTTAGCCATCCCTCCAATCTCTCAAGTAAATGTTTTGTTTTAGTTTTAAGCCCAAGTCAAAATTCCATTAAATCTGTATTTGCAGAGAAATTGCTCTATAACCTTACAATCTTACCCTAGAATTCTCAAGGGATTTAAAAATTTCCATGTTGATTCGATGTTACCTGTTTCTCCTCATTTCCTGTGGGACGTTGACATTTCAATGGTTGTCAAAGACCGCCACAAGAATTTTCACTATTAATATCTATACATTGTAATGTGTCGTTACATTACGCTTTTCAATGAGAAGAGTATAACGAAAGCCGCATTAGTATTTGGGCATGCACTTGCTGTGAATTTGAGATCTATTAATGCCTAAATTATGTGAGGGTTTTGTTACTTTTGTGTGTGAATAATGCGGTTGGACTTGGAATGGTTGCATAGGAAATGAAAATATGAAATATTGTTAAGATTTTTCATTTGTTTGAACAGTTATAGAGTAGAAGTATTTAATACATGCATATAAAGGAAAGAAACTGTAGGGAAATTGTTTATTCAATTCTTGCCATTCTTGTTATTAGGGTAAATAAAGGTTGTTAACTTGTTTTTGCTATTTGTTTTTTACATTTGATCTTTGTCCTTTGACGCCTTTTATGTGATGTGAATTGTGGAGTAAATTTTTAGTGCTCATACAATATATAGAGTCTAAAATTACGTATTTTCCCCCTCATCTTTGAGTACCTTGCGGTATTTGATTTGATATTTCCTACTCCAATTTTAAGTTGTTGAATGCATATAGAGAATGTGCGTTATGGCATTTTTTGAATTAACTTTTTGAATTTTGGTTTCTACATTGTAAAAGAAAGAATTAGGGAGAGAAATCTTTTTGTCTGCCACAAAGTGAATTACTAGCTCTGCCCCTAGTCATTTTGTGCTACATTGTGTGATCGCTGTCAGCAAAATTACATTTGTTTGTAAAGCCTATGTGCTACAAATTGCTCTATAACTTGCCAAGAATTTCCAAAATAGAAGCCTTAAGTATTGAATGTTCCTTTCATTTGTTGTTCACGATTCTCTTTGAGCAGGAATATGAAGTTGAATTTCGATGCTAAAACCCTTTTATTTTACTACCATTCATTAAAGTGTCCATAACATGATTTGACCATAAGAGACCACTTGTGTTTTTATAAGGATAATAATTCAAATTCTATTTAGATATAATTTTATTTTATTTTTATTTTAGGTTACATATGACAGTATTAGGTTAGGTAAGATTAATGTGATGAAAGGTTGGTTAGTCTAAATCCCTAGATATTGTATAAACTCTTTATAAAAACACAAGCCATTGGCACTAACATTAAAACAGCTAATTTTACCAACAATATATAGTTTTTAAGTAGGTAGGTAGGACACACTTTCTTTAACTGAGACTCAGACGTGAATAAAGAATACACGTGTCAATTCTGAAATGTCAATGAGTACTAAGTTGAGTATTTCTGAAGCCCCGTTTTCTTGAAATCTACTCAATCGAATATGCAATATTGTAACATGTGGGTTAGTATTGATACTTTGAGTTGAATTCAATAACGATATCAATCACGTAATCATAAAAATATTTATATGTATAGCTTTCTATCACACGAGACAATAATTCTTTTTACATTCAAACATAAAATAGCAACAGAACATTTAAGAATCGTACTCTCATTTGTTACAGATTAACTGAATTTCTTATTCAATAGCAAGACATGACTAATCAGCTACTTGGTTTTCATTTGGAAGCAGTAACAGCTCGGAAACGGGCTTGAAAATGCGC